GCATTCCTACAGATCCTTTCAATCTTTCTTTCTTCAACAACCGATGGTATGTTTTTGATTTTATCTTCTTGACGCGTTTCATCTTCACCTCATGGCGGAAAAGAAGGCTCCGCATTTTTGCAATATGATTTCGACTGTTTACGTAATCTCCAAGGGATATCTTCCAAGCATCATGAAAAATATCAGTTTTGCAATAAAATAAAGAAAAACTGCAAATCATGCATCAATATGCATACAATTACGCCTGATGAGACAAACAATTTTCAGGTACCCAGGCACAAAAACTGTGACAACCGATTTCTCAAAGCTAAAAATTAAACAAAAAATGTCCAGATCACCCCAACCCCTACTCTGAGCAACGCCTCTTTTTTCCCCTACTGTTCACATATGCAACTGTTATCTTGAAAATCTCTTTGCTGATTGAGAAAAATACTCAACCAAATAAATAACATGTTTAAAGTATTGGATGTTTGCTTTTAAAGACATAGAGAAGATCAACATGAGTCAGAAACGTGTGAATCAAAAAATGGCAAGAAAACTGCAAAAATATGGGTAACAGAGAGAACACAGGAGCATAGATGAACTGCATATAGAAAATATTAAGACACTAAATTGAATCAAGCAAAGAATATTTATGGCCTCCATACCTTATTTAATTCAAGAAGCCTAGAGCCATCTTCTTTATGAGCTGCCATAACCTTGTCATCATTAACTAACAAAGACATTTTCTTCTCAAACTCAGTTCTAGGCTCAAATTCGGACGCTATTGCCCCTACAGTTGATAACCCCAAATCTGTATCTTTATCAAAAATAATGGTAGGTGCCTCCCTATTCCTCTTGACCAAAGGCTCCCATCTTGTAATATCTTTCTTTGATTGTTCATAAGCGGCGTTCCTTTCTAACCTGTCTCGAACCTCCTTGGGAAGTGGAGCTTGAAGAAGCTTTCCTTTTTTCTCCACATGACGTGTTATATTTCGAAGCTCTCTATAACCAGGTTTTCCTTGAATACTTTCAAGAAGGTCTTCAATAGCAATGCGGCCATCACCATCCAGAACATCACGAGTAGGATTATATTCAGACTCTGGATATCCCTCGGATACAACAACTTTGTTTTTCTTCTTGCCTGGGAACAACATAAGATTCGGGGCCATACAAACCTCTAATTACTAAAACAACAAAAGCAGCAAGCAGATATTTTATTAAGGCAAATATATGTGGTGAAAATAGTAATGCTCTAACCTTGACTAAGTTTATATTCCAAATATACAACACAATAAGAATCCATAAATGGATGTAAAAACAAGACACCTACTCAAACACAACTGGAACCCAAAGAATAATTACATGAGCAAGAAGAATGTTTTCCTCTCAAATGGTATCCCCTATACATTATTCATGTCTGCATCTCTGAACATGTCTAGATGTAGAAGATGCTTACACAAACTTCAGCTTCAAGCACTCTAACTTCATTGGTAAACAAGTAAGCATGCATTGTACATGAAAAGAATATCATTTACCCTACTAATCTTGAGAAATGGAAGTGATACCTTGAAAGGCCTGACTTGGCATTCCAGTGATTCCTTGCAACATCCTCAGATGCCGTTCATCATCTTCATCTTCAACATCATCACCAAGTTGATCTAGGTCTCCCTTTTTACCCTTATGGTCAGAAATCTTATTTTCGCCACCATCAAAGTCATAATCGTCGTCATCCGATTCAACATTCTCATCCTACATTAATTGAAAAAATATTTGAGATACCATCTAAGAAAACCAATGTTGGTAGATAAAAAAAGCCATCATTATAGCAAAACGAGTAGAGTGTAAAAAAAAAACACAGTCAATCAGTATAGCAAATCCCGATGCCATCAAGAAATAGAACAACATCTAATAACACACGAAATCCACTCTTCTAAAGTAAAATCCAGCAGTCGAACTAGCTGTTAATTTAACAGAAAATAATTTTTAGACAAGCTATGCTATGAATAAATATATACATATAGGGAGAGAGAGCTTGAAACCTTAAAATCCTCAGGTAACTTATACTCGTAATTCTCAACGGAATCGAAGCGGCGGTTCTTCTTTGATTCCTCTTCAGGCACTCCTTCCTCGTATTCATAAAAGTCGCCGTTAATACCTTCATCTTCTTCACTGCAGGACTGGTCATTAGGGTTGATTCGATCGAGCTCTTTCCTAAGAGATTGAGGTAAGCGTGGTCCGGTCCGCCTTTTCTCGTCCTCAATCTTGCCGTATTTTTTGCTGAATTTGGACTTTTTGGTAAATTTCTGTGGTCTATCATGTTTCTTACCGTCTCTCGATTTTCTCTTCTTCTCTATCATCTTCATGGCTTTGTATTTCCAAATGCTAGATTAGTTCGGGTAACAGCGGCGGTGCTTGTAAAATCTCCACTCAAAGTTATACACGCCTGCCTAGTTGGGAATTGGAATGGATGAAGAGACGCCGTTTTGTAGAGGAAGAAGGTTAGGTTTCTTAAGCGACAGAGGCTCCAAGGTTTTGGCCTTAAGGGTTTTATATAAACTACGTCGTTTATCTCCTGGGCATGAGAAGGAATTGTCGAGTATATTCATTTATTGTGCCGTAAAGGCACAAACATTTAACTAATCATCTTGTAATTAATCATGATTATTAAAATTAAGAAAGGTTCAATCAATTTTCAAATCAGAATGTATTTCTTCTGTTCCATTGAAGAAAAGCATGCTATTTACGTTGTAAAAATCATGAAATAAATAAAACTATTTATATGGATGGCGCTAAATTACATATAAAAACCAATTAGATGATCATGTTATGAGTTTATTTTTTATTTTTATAAAAAATATCATAAAAATATAAGATTCCAGAAAATTAAATTATGTTATAGGTATAAAAAAATTATGTTATAATGTGAAACTTAATTCACTTATATTTAACTTCAAATCTTAAAGCAAATGCATTCAGCATCAAGTTTCACTGGACGATGAACGTAAATACATTAAATCTTAACGAAACATTGAAGTGAATTAGATCCTAACACATGATTCATAGTCTTGGGTTAGGCAAGGCTGCAGGATCTAAGGTTTTTTTGGATCTTAACGCAGGACTCATGAGAATTGGGTCCTTATAAAAGATATGTAATCTTGGGTCAAGTGGGATTACAAGACCTAAGGGATTTGAATTTGTGCTCATGCCACATGTAAGCAACGTGAAGCATCTATTTCCAACTCCAAGTTTTTTAGGTTTGGAAGAGAATGCTTGATCCAAGTTAACAACAACAACAATAATAATAATTAATTTTACTCTTCAAATCAATTATATGTTTTTTTATAGAAATAATATTTATTTTAAATTTAATAATATTAATGAATATAATAATATTTATAATATCAAACTTGTCTGACCCAAGTTTTCATAGTTTTTAATCCCTTCAAATCTAATATATGGTTTTTCTTCCATATCAATAATATTTTTTTTCAAATTTATTATTAATAATAATAATGATGGTGGTGGTGGTGATAGTGATAATTTTTTATTTTACCTTTCAAATCAAATCTATGATTTTTTTAAAATTTATTAATTATTTTATGAATAATATTAATTATAATAAAAATAATAGTATTTATAATACAAATAACTATATTTAGAAACCTAAGACCCAAGAATCTTGGGTCCTGACACCGAATCCAAGAGAAATTGATCCTAAAATAGAACTCATTAATCTTGGGTTCTCATGCATGACCTAAGAGATTTGGGTCCTGAAGTAAGACTCATTAGCCTTGGGTTCGTACACAGAACCCAAAAGAAATAGGTTTTGACACATGACTCATCAACCTTGAGTCCTAAAGATGCATCCAAGGGAATTAAATCCCAACATAGAACCCAAGAGAATTGGGTCTAGTGGAGCTGCAATACTCAAGAGATTTAGGCTTGTGCTCCTACTACACCCAAGCAACTTGGGTGAGGCGTCCTTTCTAACCCTAACTTTTTTGGATCTAAAAGGGGATCCCTAACCCAAGATGATGATAATAATGATTGATTTTGCCATTCAAATTAATTCTATATTTTTTATACTAGTAATATTTATTTCAAATTTAATAATATTAATAAATATAATAATATTTATAATATTAATAATAATATTAAACTCGTCCGACATAAGTTTTTATAGTTTTTAATCCCTCCAAATCAAATTTATTATTTTTCTTTAATAGTAATAATATTTTTCTAAATTTAATAATAATAATAATAATAATAATAATTTTACCCTTCAAATGAAATATATTTTTGTTTTTCAATATTAATAATAGTTTTCCAAATTTAATAATTATTATATTAATGATTTTAACTACAATAAAAATAATGATATTTATAATACAAATAAATGTATTTTAATATTAATTATAATAAAAATAATAATATTTTTATACCAATACTTTTAATTATAAGATAAATAATTATATTTATAATACAAATAATTATATTTAGAAACTTAAAACCAAAAACCTTGGATCCTGACACCGGACCCAAGAGAATTGGGTCCTGATGCAGGATCCAACACGTGTTTTTGCAGATCCTAGGCTTTCAGGTTTACACACTCGCCTGCCAAGTCCAAGGTAGGTTGACTTGCTGCAGAACCCTAGAGCAGCTTAGAAGAGACCCGATAGGCGGGTGTGCACCCAGGAGCGTGGTCCAGCAGCCCGCTCGCTCTAGTCTGCGTCCACCACCCAGGTATGTAGCCCTTACACGTGGGTGTGCAAACCGTGGGGTACGGGCTTGTAAACCTACTTGCCTATGTTTGCCTGCAGACCCTCTAGCTTAGGTCTACAGACCCCACTCGCGTGGTTATACAACACATTCACGCTAGTCTTCACCCCCCGCCCAGATATACAGCCCTCGCGTGCGAGTTTGCAGACCTCAAGGTAAGGGCTTGAGCCTTCTCACCCATGTTTGTAGTCAGACACGCGGGTTTCCAGACCCGCTCTATCAACACATTTCGATACTTAAATTTGAAAAAGCAATTATAACATACTTGTATTTTATTGAGTTCCACACAAGAATGAGAGATTCTAACAAGGCAAGACGAGACAAATCTTATCTAAATTAACAATATATCTGACATGACCAAAAGATTGATGTCTTCTCCCAATTACAGGAGTGTCGAAGTAATAAATAACCTGGCAAGATTAGGGTCGAACCATAAAGAGGTTAATTGTATAAATTATAGATAACAATAATACAATAACAATAACAATAACAATAACAATAGCAATAATAATAACAATAATAATAATAATAATAATAATAATAATAATAATAATAACAACAACAATAACAATAATAATAATAATAAAAAGAAGTTAATGAGAACTTTGAAATAAAAAATTAATGTAAGGATTAAACAATAATAACAACAAATATCAAGGTTAGAGGATCCACTAATGGTATGCCAACAAACTCTTATTATTCAATTGAAAACCACACACAAAGGAGGTTCCAATCAGATTATAAATTGTTAACATGATTATATTAGTTATTTTATTCGATTAATGTTAATACTTGTAAATGTTGTCAAGCATTCATAATTATAACTTATGTTAACAATAAATCAAGTTCCTTTCATAGCACTGGTGTCAGTTATACCATATAGTATAGGCTATGAAAGTGCTAAATATTTGTTGTACCAAGTGTTATACAATACAAATCTAAATTAGTCATTTAAGAAGCAAAGTATTAAAAGTGAACAAGATAACAAATATAAAATATGTTAGTACCAAACATTAAGATCTATGTTGAATTTATATTATACTTATTCTTACATCATTAGTGTAACATTTTTACCTTGACAAAATAAACTTAACAAAACATAATGAAAGAAAAAAATAAATAATAAGATAAAAACATAAATAAGATAAAAGTTTAACTAAGTAAAGGAAAGAAAATGAAAGGCATAAATTTGATATTAATGAAAGCAAAACATAAGCATTACAAAAATACAAGGAGAGAAAGCAAGATCATGATCTTGATCTAGAAACTAAGATGTCTAAATGCATGGTAAATACCTCCTTTTACAGGTCAAAATTGAAAACTATTGATTTGATAACTAATTGATAAGTGGGTTGTCAACTCTTGACTTGGTGACAATCTTTATTTTTTTCTTGTCTGCCTAAAATATCATTAACAACGTCAGAATTGGACCATTTAAAAATATAAAAGTTTTAGGAAATTGTCTCAGCTTTCCAAGAAAAAAAAGTAAGGTTATTTGGACTTCTCGAACTCCAGATATAGACCAAATATTTAACAGTGTTTGAGCTGCAGGACAGATTCAGACTTCTTTGTTGTTGCTAAAATTTAGACTTGAAAAAGATCTTTTTAAATCTTGAGCTCCCATGAAAGTTGTAGGCTTATGTCTTACCTTTCCATCCATATCAAAATAGATCTAAATCCAAGATCTACAGCTTTATATATGACCCAATTACCGAATAGTGTTCCGGTTTGGACTGCACTAGCATCTCTTTTCTAAGGTTGGCCATCTCTTTGTCCTTTTAATTTCAATTCTTAAACGCATCAATCAGTCTTTTTATTTATGTGATAAACCTGTATTTAAAATAAAAATTTACCACAAATTAAAGGTATCTTATATTATTAAATATGCTATTATAAAACATATTTTAGTTAAAGAGTTATTGATACTTTAAGTGAAAAATAATGATATAAAACCTTAATAAAAATATACTTTTCAATATTTAAATATCAGCTCAATCCAACAATGAATATAGGTTATTGTAGTTCATGCCCCTTAATGTGTTTTCTCTCTAGCTTTTCTTTCCCTTTATCCTTCCTTCGCCTATAGCTTATAAAGGAGAAGAAGATATTTTATGGTCACTTTACTAAAATACCATTAATGAGTCAATGTATGATTTTTCTATATTTTTGTTCTACCGACCTTCTCGAGTTTTGATCACCTTGAAAATTTAACCCAAAGTAGAACCATATACTATAAGACTTCATGTAAAATTTCAGCATGGTTAATGATTGGATTGAGAGTTATGCTACATACTATGAAACTAGTTAATTAATATTTTTACATCAAAATCTAAATTTTCTTATTTAATCCTTACTCAAATGATATAAGTTATTCCACTAAATTTTTGAAATCATTTTCTTATTCCTAAATATATTTTCTTTACTTTTTCATTATTTATTTATTTCTTATCATTTGGAATTTTTATTATTCATGTAGCTTTTATTACTTTTGAACTTACATTTACTTAGGGGTTTTGAACTAGCCACCCTCTAGGTATTTAAGGAAGCCTTTTTTTCTTTTATTTATTTATTGTAACAAAACAAATTAAGATAAAAATTATAAAATTTCCTTGAACACTAATTTAGTGATTTTTGCTTTTGAGAGCAATTAAATCATTTTAGAGTTTTTTAAAAAACAAAAAGGCTAAAAAAGCCACTGCACTCTAGTTTAATAGTGTTTGCTTTTAAGAGTAATTCAATTATATCATGCTAAAAAAATATAAAAAGATTAATCTGTTATTCATTAATATGATAATGAATAACAAAATATGATAGAAATATTAATTTACTTCTAATGATTAGTTCATTGTTTTTGTTTTATAAAAGCAAAATAACTATTATATTATTACAATTAATAGTGTGTTTATATACATTGAAAGACTGAACCCTATTAATGTTTTTTTTATAATATTAATTTAATGTGATGTAATGTCATGGTCCTCAAGTTTCAAAAATTGATCATATTTATCTTTTTATTTCAATTTTGATACCAAAAGATTTCATACTTTCAATTGTAGATCAACTATAGTCTTTTATTTATGTCTATGGATGCTGACGTGAGAGATTGAATCACTTTTAGGATGGATAAGATTAATTATGAAATAAATAAAATAAAATTCAAAAAACATTTTTTTTCTTTTTTTTTGAAAAAAATATAAAAAGTAAGAAGCAAGCATAGAGAGATGAAGCTTTGTTTGATTTTCAATCCAAGTTTAATAGTGTTAAAAGTATTTTTATGTCCTTGGAATTTGGTATTTTAGGTTTTTGGTTTTTTTTCCCTCTTGAAGTTTTGTGTTATTATTTTATTCAATTTCGTAAATTAATCTATCCAAATTGTTGATTTCTTGAAATGTACAACACTAATAAATTGAGGCAAATGGGATAATATGACCAATTTGTAAAGTTGAGGGACCATGTTTTACCACAGATGATGAAAGTTAAAAACGACCCCTCAGTAGCCTTCTGCTAAATTTACAGTTGCCTGCTGTTTTTTGCTCTTTATTTGGAACATGAGTTGCATGCTGGTTGGTGGATCAACAAAATTGAGCCTCAGGATAATGATTGATACAAACAGTACTGATCTTATTCAGGCAGCTAGCGAAGATGTTCCAAACCGATAGAGGCACGTGTTATCACTGTAAGCTTACCAAGAAGACGACCACTCGCCGCCCCCATTAACAGCATCAGCAAGGAGCTGTCTAATCCATGCATGGAAGACCAAATCTCTCGGTGCCTTCTGTCACCCACGTGTGACCCTTTTCGTCCACTTCTTTCCATCCCCTTCGCCCACGTGTGACTACTCATCTTCCTTGCCTCTCCGCTGCCCAAACCCAAAACACATCAAGCCTCTTCTTAAAAACAGCCTCACCTTACATATTTTCTCCCCGCTACATCTCTGTCGTCTCTTTCTAATCAAATATGGACTCCCAGAACGTTAAACAGCGTACAAGAGACACAGTCGACGAACCCCACACCATCGTGGGCAAAAACAACAGCAAGAATGTGAGATTCAGACGTGAAAAAAGAGTGGCTATGGCCCAACGTGGTATTAGATCATTAGCCATAGCTGTTGCGCTCCCTCTTTCCGTGGCTCTCTGTAACGTGTATTTCTTTGGCTCAACTAGAGGCTACGGTACTAGTAGTAGCAGGAGTATATCAAAGCCCTTCTGGTTCCCACCTTTGTGGGCGCTACACATGTCTTGCGTGACTTCGAGTTTCTTGATGGGTCTCTCGGCTTGGCTTGTTTGGGCTGAAGGCGGATTCCATCGGAACCCGACTGCTCTCTATCTTTACCTGACTCAGCTCGGCTTGAGTTTGGCTTGGAACCCGATCGTGTTTCGGATGTCAGAGCCGTGGGTTGGGTTACTTGTTTGTTTAGCTACGTTTGGGGCTCTTGTTGGGTGTTCTCGACAGTTCAAAGAGGTGAATCCCATTGCAGGCAATCTGGTTATGCCCTGTTTGGCATGGGCTTCGTTTTTAGCCTTCGTCAATCTTAAGCTCCTCTTTCTTTGAAGAGTCAACAGGACACCAGTGTTCCCCTGTATTTGTAGTTTAGCACCATAGAACTTGATCCTTTGTTAGCAATCATCCTTTTCATTTTATGTTGGGTGTGTACTTGATCCTGCATTATATTAGTATAAAATTCTCAATTCTATTATTTTCAGAAGATTATCACGCATGTATATATTTGTGTGTGTGTGTGTTTCTTGTGATTCCCAAAGAGAATGAGAATAATACACTTGATTTTATTTATTGAAAATTAGACATAAAGAAAATCACGTGGATTTTTATGGCAGGGTTCGCTCCGATATTGCAAGCAGATGTGAAAATTTTAAAAAAAATTAAATTTAAATTGAAGAGGGATACTGAGGTTAAAAGCTTTTTAAGGGGATGGAGGTAGAAGAGCTTCCTCTCTCCCTCTCTGCCTCGATTCCTGTCTCTAATAAATACTCCCTGTATCTTACTTCATGTTGAGCATCCGTGGGGAATGCCTGCTGGAGCTGGAAGCATCTGTGCGAAGGGCAGGGCTATAAGTCTCCATAAATCATTGATGACACTCTTAGGAGGACTGTAATTTACACAGCCTCAACCCCTTTGTCAAATCTTATGTTTTGACTTTCATGGTTTTTTTGAGTTGAAAGTTAATTGTTTGTTCAGATCGCATATTACAGATTTGTCTGCTGCAAATTGTTGCAAATCTGAGTAAAAAGGCCATAAAATTGGGCACATGGTGCTACCTCCATCTCTTCTTCTCTGTTTCTGCTTTCAGTGGCTTATTTAGTTTTTTTATATATATATAGTTAAAGTATCCGAGTCCTTACACATGTATTACAACTAATTCCGAATTTATTGAACATTTTACAAGTTTAATGAACAGGTAAAACAACACGGAGTGATAAGCATGCAAAAAAAAATCAAAACCGGGTGCAGAGTAAAGGAACAAATCGCTTCCGATATCACGAAATCAATTGCAATTTGTGTAGTTTTTTTTTTTGTGTAGTTTTTGATCATATGTAATGTTGATCTCACGTTTGCAACTTATTCCCTTTTTTCATTTTTGAGCAACTGAGAAGGCAAAATATTTCTACGGTGTTGGGTTCTTCCTTACCGTGTCTCCTGAATCCATTATGCTTCTTGTTGAACATGCAGCTGCACACAACAAGGTAAAGCTTGTGCAATTAGATATTTATCTCTTGTTACCATTCCCTTTTTTTAAAATTCAGTAGTCTGAGACATGCATGTGCAGATCTTCATGATGAATCTTTCTGCTTCATTATCTGTGAGTTCTTACATCCTTACTGCTTTGCAGACAGTGGCGAGAACAGTACCACGGTATTCAAGGAAGAGAATACGTGTTCATTTTGCTGATTTGTCTTGTACTCTCGTGAATTTTATTTTTAAAATGGTAAAAATTAAATTTGGATGCAAGAATATTACAGACTCTTATGAGTCCTTTGGCTCCTCTTTTTTTTTAAAATATTGTGGGAAAAAAAATCGAAAATGCTCAAAAATTGTTTGATGAAATATCTAAAAAGAAATTTTTATTCATAGAATTATGGATGGTATTGTTTTAATTATAAATTATAGATGAAAATTTTATTATTTTTATATTCCTTAGTCATTAAAATAAATATAATAACTAACTTATAAATAATTAAATATTTTTTGTTAATTTTTTTGATGATGTAACGTATATAAATTTCAGGAGGAAAATTGTAATTTTTTAAGTTTTAAATTATAAATGAAAAAACAAACCAAAATATATGAGGTTTTTTGTAATTATTTTAAAAATTTATTTTACCTTTAATATATAAATATCAAAATTATATATTTTAAAAAATAATTATATATGATTTTTATTTACTTTAATTTATATTGATTATTAAAATTAATAACAGTATAGACTCTGATTATAAAATTTGAATCGGCCTGACAGGTTTACCTAGAACCTTATTGACCCATGACTTAAACAAATTTAGATTTAAAAAAAATATAAAAAAAAGATTAATCTAATATGATCTAATCAAAAATTTAGATTAGATATCTGATTTGGTCAATTCAAAATAAAATTCGATCAAAATCTAGATCAATAACTTGTTGACCTTTTTTTATGAAAAAATCTTTTTTACTTTAATTTGGGTTGATTATTCTAACCAGTGGCCCGGGCCAATCTTTAGGTGGGATTTTAAAATCATAACAATAACAATTTTTATCTTTATATATCTTGGTTTAGAAATTTTGGAATTAAATTTTTTTTACAATAATATTTTAAAAATAAAAAAAATATTATATATAAATACATATTTATTTTAAAAGTACATAAAGTCATTTAAAAATTATCTTAATAATATATTTATTTTTATATCTCTATCGATCTCTTTAACCATATATATTATATCTTCATTATCTCTATCTTTTTTTTTTATTACAAAACAATAATTAAACATAATTCTTGTTGTCGCTGTGATGCCTCAACTAGTATGATTTTAAATCCTTCTTGTCGTTATTATGCTTTACTAGCATGATTTTAAATCATTCTTAACAGGAAAGATAAACACAACAATATTATGGATGTGTTTTCTTATATTATAAGTTTTTAGGGTTAATTACATCCATGTTTTTTTCATTAAAAAAATTACATTTTATATCTTGGAGCTACTCAATTTTTGAACTTATGGAAAAAATCAGAACTCCTCGTATACAATATATCCCTACATTATAAGCTTACATGGTAAATTAACTTGTATTTTGCTCTTAAACACAACAGGACTAGTATTTTTCTTTTTTGGAATCATCTGTCATGTTAATTGCTAATATTTTCTCATGATAAATATTAGTTTTTTTTTAAATCATAAGTATCAAGTATAAATTTAAGCTATGTTTCCACTATTTTTTTATATTTGGCATAAAAAACTTGACATGACCAAAAGATTGATGTCTTTTTCCAAGTATAGGAATGTCGTAGTAATAAATAATCTAGTAAAACCGGAATTGAACTATAGGGAAATAAACTATATAAATAACAACAATAATAACAATGATAGTGGTGGTGGTGATGAGTTAAAGAGAACTTTGAGATGTAAGAGTACTGTGAAGATTAAACAATGATAAAAATAAATATCAAGTTTAGAGGATCTATTGATAGTATTAAAGATAAGTAAAATATAAACTCTTTATAAATTATCAACATGATCATATTAATCATCTTATTTACGTAATATTATACTTATAAATTTTATCAGGTATTCATGATGCTAACTTATGTTGACAACAAATCAAGTTTCTCTCATTACAATGATGTCGACTAAAAACTATGAAGGATCAAGTATTTGATGTACCAAATATTATACAACACAAATATAAATTAACCATTTAACAAGTAAAGTATTAAGAATTAATAAGAAAAAAATAATAAAACATGTTAATAGCAAGTTGTTTCGGATATAAATATTGAAGTTCATATTGAGTTTATAACATATTTATCCTAACACCATTAGTGAAACCTTTTCACCTTGATATGATATAAACTTAGCTAAATATTATGAAGAAGAGAAACATAACTAAACAATATAAGAATATAAACATGATATAAGTTAACTAAGTATAGTAAAGGAAATGAAAAGCATGAACAAGAGATTAATGAAAGTAAAATTTAAGTATTACAATAATATAAAAAAAAGAGAGAAAGAACATGATATTGATCTAAAATTCAAGATGCCTAAATGCATGGTAAATGCTTTCTTTTATAGGTCAAAATTTAAAACTATTGATTTGATGATTAATTATTCAGTGGGTGGCCACATCTTGACTTGGTGACAGTCCTTATATTCTTGTCTAAACAAAACATTATTGATAATGTTAGAATTTGAACAGACTTAAATCATGAAAGTTCGAGGAAATTGTCTCAGCTTTCTAGAAAAAAAATTAAGGTCATTTGGACTTCTAAAACTCAAGATATGAGCTAAACACTAAATAATGTTTGGGCTGCAGGGCAAATTCAGACTTCTCAGTTGTTACTAAGATTTGAACTTCCAAATAACATAATTAAGTCTTGCCTTCCTCTTGAATGTTTTAGACTTGTGTCTTAGCTTTCCATTCATATAGCAGCAGATCTAAATCCAAAATCTACAACTCTAGATATGATCCAATGACCGAATAGTATTCCAGTTTGGGTTGAACTAGCATCTCTTTTCCAAGTTTGATCCTCTTTTTATCTTTTTAATTTCAGTACTTAAATTTATTAATCAATTTTTTGATTTATATAATAGGTCGTATTTAAGATGAACATTTACTATAAATTAAAGATATCTTATTGTATCAAACTTATTATTATAAAAAATATTTTAGTTAAGGAGTTATTGATATTTAAAATATAAAATAAAAATATAAAATTTTAATAAAAATATATTTTTAAATAATAATAAGTGAAATTAATTAATTTGAAGTTACTCCGTTTGTAACATTTTAGTTAAGAGAGAAATCTTGTGGCTGAAATGTTAGGCTGACAATCATTTCACTACTGTAGAACCCCCGAGGAGTTCAACGAGAGCCGCCGAGACAATGCCTCGAACGTTCCTTTTATGTTCGTCCCTGATGAAGGTATCATGGAGCGATAATTTTTTTTTTTTTTTACTCTTATTTATCGTGCAGTGGAACTTTTCATTACTTCTAAAAATATTCGAAATCATGGAGACAATGCCTCGAACGTTCCTTTTATGTTCGTCCCTGATGAAGGTATCATGGAGCGATAAAGTTTTTTTTTTACTCTTATTTATCGTGCAGTGGAACTTTTCATTACTTCTAAAAATATTCGAAATCATTATAAGCATTGATTACTTCCCTTTGAATATTTCAAATTAAAAAAAATTATTTACTGGAAGAATCCCAACCTGGTAATTGATTTAAACCAGCGAGTTTATGTTGGTTTTTCTAGCGACGAACAGGTAGAGTGGAAATCCTGAATTTCTCAGCCAGGTTGCCTCAGTTTGCTACAAAGATTTGCTATTTTTCAT